GTATATATAGTTTCTCTGGTTTCTTTCTTCCGTTGTCTTTTTATCTAGTATGTAAACATGTTACAAGTATAACATGACCAAAAGAAGACTCAAGTTAAAAAAAAAAAGAATTAGATTGTGAATGAAATTTAGGAATCGTAGAGAGACATAAACATCCTTGGAGACTAGAAATTGATATTCAAAGAGTTGGTAATTCAAAAAAGATTCACCTTTAGAGGATCAATTAAACCACATAAAGAGCCATTCTCATTGAACAAGGACAGTATTGAATTTCAGTACCCAGCTTCAATTTTAGACTCGAAAATTATGTAAGGAAGATCATTTAAATTAGAGGAATGACTGATCTAATAGTCAAGAGCAGGTTGAAGAAATAACTTTAGGGCAGCCTAAACATAGGATTAAAATGAACCAAATTACAGAATTTAAAAACATTGCCTTCCATCTAAATGGCATAATGCATATGTTGAACTAGAAAAGGTTGCTACAAGGTCACCATGAACATAACCAACTGATGCAGTACAACGTCTTTGGATATCCTCTTCAACAGAAAGTGATTTTGATCTGTATTTGGGAACACCCCGGTACTGTTTTAATACTAGTTAAATTAATTCTGTACTTATACATGATTTTGTACTTTTGTTTCATAAAAATTGAAGGATTTCTTTATATCGGAAGTTTCAACGCCCTTGTATTATGTTTGTGTTATTATTTTGGGTGCCAAAGAATGTCAAGGTTTCCGATGTCGATTATTTTTCAGGGTCAGGAGAAGGTTCTAACCATTGAGAGAAATTCAGTACTAAGAACCCTTAAGGATCATCTCTACCAATGTCCTAGCAAGTTATCTGAGGAAATGGTCAGGTGCATGGCAGCAGTATACTGCTGGCTTGGAAGTGCAGCATCAGAGAATCTCGAAAAGAAAAGATCATCTATATTGTCAAGGTCATCTACCAATGTTATACCCCCCATGGTAGTGATTGGAGAAGATCAAGGGTTGTCTTGCAAATCCATGGTAGAAATATGTTGGATACCAACTGATAAAAGCCACTTCTCTCGAGCATCTTTTGCCATCAACAACTACAGGTGAGTCACTGGGACAGAAAATAAAGGCGCGAATCATTAAATATTGTAACATAAGGTTTCCCTTATTTGGGCATGGTTTGAAAAATGAACTTGTCCTCTTACTGGGACGTTAATCAAATTTAGAATCTAATTGATCATTTTTTTATGATGATTGGACCAATTTAAGTTTTCAATGTCATCTAAAAGAAATCTGAATTTTTTCCTTGATCTCTCCCTGACCCATCCTTCAGAAGATAGCTTGGAAATTACATCTTTGGACCGGTTGATGCATGTCTGGATTTAGCCTGGTTCAGATATGGATGCTGCATTGCTTGTGCATATGTTTGAAATTAACTTTTTGTAACTAGGATGACATCTGATACAAAAATGGTTATTTCTAGGAACTTTTGAATCTTAAACTGCAGATTCTCTGTTTTTCGTGAGTTGAAAACATTAGTATAGCTTATGAAGTTTACCTTTAGTATAACACAGTGACTATTGGATAACACCTAAGAAATGCTATCTGATTGGCATTTACATTTTTGTAGCCCAAACCTTGTGTCAATTTTTGTAGCACATCCTCATCAAATGAGTTAACGTGAAAATTAATCTGTCCCAGCTGCACCAAATTCATGGTCTGAACTAACACTCATTTGACATTCTTCATTGCAGAGTTCTCGTAGAACAATTGGAAAGGGTGGCTGTGAATCAGATGGAAAACACTTTACAAATTGCATTTTGGATCAATGTGTACAATGCTCTTGTTATGCATGTAAGAGTTTTCTGACAGATAACAGGTCATCTTTAACAATTTGGAGCCAAATGACATTTTCAGTTGACTTGTGCAGGCATATTTAGCTTATGGTATCCCTCAAAACTCTCTAAGAAGGTTAGCTTTGTTTCACAAGGTAGTGCACTTCTTTGTTGATTTTTAAGGCAGCCATTAGTGAGAACAAAGTTATTTAGGTTTTGCAGTATTTCTATATGTAAATAACCTCGAGCGGCGTAAATGATTATGAAAACCCTTAGGTTATATTTGGAGAGAGAAAGTATAAATTTGTTTGCAATTTTACATTCAAAATATACAAAATATAGATTTAAAGGTGAATTCAGACATTTCTTTTGCCAAAAAACTTTTTATTAATATGGCTAATTACTTTTTAATTGTATATGTTTTCTTCTGTTCAATCTCTGTAATAATATGGGTAGGATATTGATGGGTTTACAAGTATAGTGCAGGCTGCATACAACATTGGTGGCCAGATCATAAGTGCAAATGCCATAGAGCAGTCAATCTTCTGCTTCCGTACACCCCGGGTTGGAAGGGTATGAATCTTATCTCATCTACTGAGCAATATATAGGACATACACACACAAACAAACAAGTGTAAGACTTTTTCTTTCAGATTCTCAATATTTTGGTTTAGCTGACATGCTTGCACATTAACTAGCATTATTTTGATTTGCTTTATATGTTACATTGAGCTATAACTTAGAAGAAAAAGAAAAAAAGAAAATGTGCTTTTTCCTGTTTTCACTTGGCTAATGTCTAGTTTCGCCATGTAGCAGTGGCTGGAGACAGTCCTGTCCACTGCCTTGAGGAAAAGATCTGGTGAAGAACGACAACGTATCAGTTCTAAATTTGGTCTTAAAAGCTGGGAACCCTATCTCTGCTTTGCTCTCTGTACTGGAGCCTTTTCTGATCCTATGGTAATTCTTTTATTTTTCTTCCGTGATCTATTTGAGACCCAATATCTTTAATTTGTGAAGTAAAAAACCCGTCAGTTAGTTTATATTATAGTTGCTGATATACTTCAATTCCCTTCAAGCCTTGATCCCTGGACTAGATTACCAATAATATTTGTTAAATACTTTTTAGTTAAAAGTCTACACTGCATCAAATGTCAAAGGAGAACTAGAAGCTGCTAAGAGAGAATTTCTTCAAGAAAATATTGTAGTCGAGAAATCAAGGAAAGTATTTCTGCCAAGGATACTTGAAAGATTTGCAAGGGAAGCTTCCATCAACTCCAATGATCTCCTCAAATGGGTTACCGAAAATGTTGATGAAAAGCTCCAAGCTTCAATACAAAAATGTGTTGATCATCGTAAATCCAGCAAAAAGGCATCTGTAGCCATCGACTGGCTGCCTTATAATTCAAGGTTTCGGTATGTGTTCTCCAAGGACTTATTGGAAAAGCCATGGTAAGTTTGAGTTTCCTCAATTTTGGTTATTTGAAACCATTTAGCATTGTTTGGGGAACAAGGCAACTGTGATGGGTTGTCCATTAGCAATAACCTTCTTAATTTGTTGAATAACTGTAATTTACAATGACTGTAGAAATCTTGTGAGCTTTAGCAGCACCATTAATTAGATAGTGAAAATTTTTTGGTCATACCATGGATTGATTATGTTTCCTTATAAAAAATTGCATCCATTATAGCAATAGTAAACAATACTTACCCTGTCCTTGAGATTTTGTTGTGTTTTTAGAAATAACTTATCTTTCTCAAGTTCAATAATTATAAACTTAAACTATGTTTGAAAAAATAAAAATAAGGTTCGTATATAGAATTGATTCAACTTAATTTCTTCATAATATGCCATTCAATTTGATAAAAATTAATTTCTTAAAGAAATTTTAGTAAAATTAGAATAGTACATTTGACTTTTATACAATTTGAAATTTCACTTACAATTTTCTAATGAAATGATTTTTTTCTCTTCTGAATGGAATTTGCATATTGAGAAACTCACACTTACTTTAGTTATAATGTAATTTTTCAAATGATAAGAACTAACTTTTTTAAAAAATTCAAGTAAAATTAAAACAATACTTTTACCACATAATTTTATCATTGTAACTTCACTTTCAATTTTCAAGCGAATTAATCATTTTCTTCTTCCCAAAGAAGTTTCCATAACTTTTTCATTAAACAAAATGCAAATCTATAAATTTCAAAAATAAAATTTCCATCAATTTTAAAAATAATTTGAAATTGAAAAATTATGAAAAATATTTTTTTTTTAAAAATAATTTCAAGTAACATTGAGATAATATATTTTAAATTGAATCTGTGAATTTAGTATAAATTCAAATATTTATATTGCTGTAACAATGAACTTCAACACAATTCTCAACAAGAACTTGAAATGTGAAACTCAACTTTAATAAAGTGGATTAAATCACAACACATACTCCAAAACTCAAGAACCTTGAGTTGAAAAAATTTATAAATAATTAAGATTCAAAATGTTTAAAAAATAATTCACTATTTATAAAATTTAGTAAAATATTTCAAGATATTAACAAAATAATTAAAATAATATATTCACTTATAAAAATATTAGACGAGTTATCTAATTTAAACTTTTAAAATTACGTGAGCAAATAAAACTCAAAAATTCCGAGTTGAAATTGATGCAATCAAGTGCATCATAAATTGATAAATAAATAAAATTCATAGTATTTAAAAAATAATTAATTACTCATTTTCAATAATTTATTTAAGTATATTTTTTTCAATAATTTTCAAATATTTTTTGGAATCTATATAACTATAAGATTCAGTTTATTTGGTAAGAAAATGTACTAGTTACCCTCACAATTGGGCTTGACTCTTTAAATAACTAACATATAATAATGTGTGCTTAAATTTTTATCTTTTGTTTAATTAAGTGTCATTATTTTTTTTAATTTTGAGCAATAAATGCTTAATATTTTAAATTGTATTTATTTGATGTTTTGAATTGTATATAATAAAATGCTTATACTAAGTACTTTAATTAAAAGTATTAAGTTTGATGTCATTTAATAAACATATTAGAAATAAACTACTTTAATTATCAAACTAAAATACTGCAAATAAAAGATATGAATAGTTTATCAGAATCAAACTTATGGTTTTAATGGAAAATTTGGTATAATATCTAGCTATTTTTGTAGTATTAATTAATGTTAATTTTAGATATTTATTATATGAACTCGTCAATTTATTAATAATTTTAAATGTAGAGTCTCAAAACTTAAAGGAAAATAAATTCATAAATTAAATGTGAAATCGATTAATAGAGTTATGATTTACATTATTTACACAATAATTTTGAATGCTCAATAAAATTACGGGGTTGTCCATTCTAAAATACAAACAAAAATTAAAGAAATAAAACGAAAAGTGATTAACTAAACATCATAGGACAACCTTCATTATTACTTGAAAGAAATTTGAATAGTGAACTACTCACAACCTTCTTACTGATCGGGATTTAGATCTTGGTCTTTTTGATCTGAAATAGTTAATGAAGTCGTGAACTATATTATACCAATAAGAATATCACACTAATCACAGATACAAAAAACTACAAATTGGTAAAAAATAAAAAAAATAACTGATAGAGTTCTTGTTTTATTTAAATACATTTGAAACTTGAAAACATTTGTTTAGTACTTACTATAACGAGTTTTTTAAAGACAACCTATGAAGACCCATATTCATATCATTTTTCACTTTCACGCATAAGAGAACGAGAAACAATAGCTTTCATTTCTTACCTGTTTACCGATACCCCTAGAGTTCCATAGGGGTGTCCCCCCTACTCGTGAACTCAATATCCAATTTTATAACTGGTCGGCCGTCCCCATACCCCGTCCAGTAATGGGCGTCAAATATTCTCTCACGTCGATACCCCGTATGATATGAGGGTGAACTATATCTCCCAAACCTTTCTGGTAATGGACTTTTTAGCTTCATTCGATTGAGGTAATGTTCACGGTAGGGTTCTCTATACCACGTCTGCCCTTTCTCTAGATAACTAACAAGTCTTTCACATGCAGATTTTCATAAATAAAGAACCAACAAACTCATACCAGTATCTCATATCACATTCACAAATCAATTAAACTACATTCATGTTGACGGTATATAACTAAAATAACCGTATAAGTTGAAAGACTATTTAACAATAAATTAAGAACATGTACTATACGAAAATCAAGCAAGTATGACAGTACAGAAAAATAAATAAGAAATCGAGATATTTATGAACTAATCGGTTCTGCCTCCACTAGTATACTACCTGTAACTATTTTTAGAGTTTTCTAATTTTTCACAAAAATAAAAAATTATGCATCATTAAGACTCAATTTACCGTAATGGAGAATAGGATAAGGGATCCTTACCCGGATCGGTGTTTCAAGACGTCAAGTTGTCTACAACGCCTCCTAACGGGTATTGAGTTTCCTGAATTTTTCTTGTGAAATTCAAAACACTCGTTACATATCTAAAAATACCCTTAAAAAATCTAAAAACGATATCCAAAACTCATTTCGGCCAATTTTGGAGTTCTGGCATCAGCGGCACCCCTGTGCCTCCGCGCCGGCTCCACCGCCCATTGCGGCAGTTTGTATCAACCTGACTGGTTTTGGCCGATTTTGGTCGTATCCGCACAAAAAAACATGTTTGGGTCTCGGTTGGCAAGGAAATCATAAAAAAATTGAACCTACCAGTGGGGGGACCTGCGGGTGCGGTGACTATGCCCGTCTTCCTCTTCGACTGAGGTTATTTCTTCGACTACCCTATACAAAAAAAGGACAGTGAACACAATGATAAAAAAATCACGTGAAACGGGAATCGGGAAGGGGCTCATCAGAGGAATTTTGGGGTTGTAGCTGCTGCGGCTCCGCCGGGCTTTACGCGCAGTTTCTGGCTCATCTGCCATCCCTCTTGCTCTGATTTGGCCACAAGGATACTCGGAATCAAATTTCGAGCGGGTATGGAGAATGTTTACCTTTTTTGGCAGTCAGTGATGACTTCTGTGTGGCGGCGGTCAGCGATAAGCGATTAGCCTCCTTCTCTAGCGTTTGATTCTTCTTCTCTAGCAGGGGCTGGCAGCTAGGGTTTATCTTTATGTGTGATGTGAAGTATTTATAATCATTCTGTGTTGATTTTGGTCCTCCATCGTGCCTAAAGAGGAAATGAATCTAAACCGTTCATCGCGATATATCTCCACCGTCCAAGCACGCTTAAGGAGAAAACGAATTTGGGTTGTCCACACACGTGGGATTGATCTTGGGTCATCCAATTGTGGGGCACGTGGATCACTAGTGTACCATCCCGCGTGGCATCGACGTCAATGCGTCTTACCACACGGCGCGCTCCAATTCGTCGAGGCTGCTGATTAGGCGGTTCTACGTGGCTGAACTTTTTCTATTTACATTTTGACCCTTATTTCTAATTTTTTTAAAAAAAAAAATATTCCTAGAACCCAAAATTTCACCTTTTTTAAAAAAATTATTTTCAATCTCATCCCTAATACATTTTTTTTCAAAATTCTACTTAAATAAAAATAAAAATAATTAATTAATTATTTTAAATTAATAATTAAAGAATAAAAAATTTATCTTGAGTCATTTTTTGGGTCCGGGTATTACAACTCTTCCCCTTTAAGAAGATTCCGTCCTTTAAATTGGTTACTTTCTTGCTCAGTCTAATAGTTATGGATACTGGGCCCTGAAGCTTGATTCCAGTTCACAAGTGACATCTTCCTACGTATGGTTCTGCCATAGGACTTTGATGAATGAAATTTCTCAATTGCGGAGCACTCTACTCTTTCAGTCTATAATGTTTACCGATACCTTCTCATATGATAGATCCTCCTGAAGTAAAAAGGGCTCGTGGGACAGGATGTGTGAGGAACCTGGGTTGCACTTGCGTAGCATAGATACGTAAAATACATTATGAACCCTGGATAACTCTGGAGGTAGTGTCAGTATGTAGGTAGTCGTACCAATCCAGTTTAAGATCTCAAATAGTCTGATGAATCGAGGATTTAATTTTCCTTTTGCTAAACCTACTGATCCCTTTAAAAGGAGCAACCTTAAGAAATGCTCGGTCATCTTTCTCAAATTCCAAATCCCGCCTCCGAGAGTCCGCATAACTTTTTTGTTTGCTCTGAGCTGTCTAGATGTTCTTTCTGATCTTAACTATCTTGGTTGTAGTCTCCTCTATAAGATCTGGGCTGAATAATTTTCTATCATCCACCTCTTCCCAGTAGATCGGCGATCTTCATGGGCGGTCATACAATACCTTATACGAAGCCATGCCGATACTTGCTTGGCAACTGTTACTGTAGGTAAACTCTATCAGAGGTAGGTGATCATCCCAATGGCCCCCAAAGTCTAGAACATAAGCTTGAGGCCTATTTTATAGTGTACGAATCGTACTCTCTGATTGTCCATCGGTTTAATGGTGAAATACGGTGCTAAGGGACAATTTTGTTCCCATGATTTGCTGAAAACTAAACCAAAATTAAGATGTGAACATTGGGTCTCTGTCAGATATCACTGATAGTGGAACTCCATGTAACCTAACGAGCTGATCGACAATTACCCAAATGACATAATGTTTTGAGCGTGTCTTAGGCAACCCTATTACGAAATCCATTGTG